TTCTAGATTTGATAGTGTTTAACCAGTGGTCAAAATTGAAGAATTTATTAAAAAGTATATATTAATCTTAAGGGTTTTCTATTATATTAAAAATGAGCAGTAAAAGTAATAAGAGAAGCAACATATATAGATAACTAATAGCATATATCCTGTAAGAATAATAAAAATATAAGCCCTATAGATTAAATAGTTTAAAACTAATAATAGAATTTCTACTCTCTATAGCTTTCTGGTATCATGAATAAAAGTCATAAAGTAATAGATTTCTGGATATCAGATGAACAAGATTAATAAGCTAGCATTTAATTATGATTATATATTATAAAAGATATTTGATGTAATACTGTAGATACTGTAAATTATATATCAATAAAGAATTTATATCTAATTCCATTTAATCTTAAAAATAAAAAAAATAATAATAATACAGTAAACCCTCTCTAAATATATATTTTCAGGACCATATAAAATTTTTTGAAAAATGTGTATTTATAGAGAGTGTGTATTTATGAAAGTAATTTTATTAAGAGTTTTATATACTTGAGACCAAGCTTAACCATGTATTTAGAGAAAAAAAATATAATAAGTGCATTTATAGAAGGTGCATTTAGGGAGATCTCTCTATAATAATAATATTTTTAAATATATATATATATATATTTTTGAATTATTCTAGTAGATAAACATCACCTCTTTATTTGATTTGTATATATCAAGGTATACATCATGAAAGAAACAAAATCTCTTGGATGCATTGCATATAACAAGTTAAATATTAGCTTGTCTACTTGTATTATATTTAACTAATATCATAAAAAATTTCAAAAGCAATATTAAAATATCAAATATGGGAGTAGTGGCTATACTTATCTACTCAAAAAGTTGTTTGATGAAATTTTTTTTTTGAATAAAAGAAATTGAGAAGAAAAAATTAAAACTAATTAAAACTAAAACTTTATCAAGTAAACTATAAGATCTATAAGTAGAAAACCAATTATTTCCTTAAGAAAACCCCTAAACAAGCTTATTGTCCCATCTCTTCAGCTCTTCAGTTACCATAGATAGTAGAGTATATGTGATGTTGTTTGTTATTGAAATTGTTGTTGTGACACAAAACTGGTTTGAGCTGGCACAGTTTTTGTTTTGATTATATAAGAAAAAACTTTTTATCTAATTTCAAACTGGTATCGAAATAGTACTGATCTATAATAAATTTAATATATAGGTTGTGACTTACTCATATATTTTTATAATAAATTTAAGTATCAAATTGATATCAAAATAATATTGTTAGAAGCCCCAAATTTTAATAAAAATTCACAATTATAATTGATATAGCAAACAATATGTAATATAAAAGATATTCTAATTTAAAACTATTTCAATTAAATATTTTTTTAAAAAAAAGAGCTTTATAAAAAAAATTTAAAACTATAGATAATAATAATAGATATAATATCTTTTCTAAGATTTTAAAGAAAAAGTATTAGAAAGATTGTTAAATATCTTAATTAATTTTGAAAAATATGTATTATAAATAACAATCACTAAAATTTAAATTAGATTAGATAGTTTATAAGCTAATAATAATATTTCTATTTTTAAAGATTTTATTTGATATATGAATTTACTTTTAAGATAAATTAATCTATATACTGGATAAGATTATAGATAAGATTTCTGGTAATACTATTTTGGTACCAAGTTGATTTTATTTCAGTATTTGGTTTGGAATCCTGATTATAGGTAAAGAAGCAAATTAACTTAAATAAATCTTATAATTATAGTATATAACAAAAGTCTTTGCATGATCAAGTGAGTCTGGTAAGGATCGTAAAGATTAAATCGGAATCCAAGCAAGAACACCAGTTCTACAGGTAGTGAAAACAGTAGTGCTGCACTATACTAGTGGCACATCCCTAGGATCAGTGATAACAGGTGATTGGAATGACTGGGGTTAATCTCTATAATAACATCCTATACTATACTGCTCTCTGCAATAATGAACCAGCAGGTTTAGGCGGGTTTAAACTAGTGGTAGGATTCCCCCCCTGCGGAAGTTTCACCTGACATATGGACACATCTACGTGGTGTTTAAATGAACGCATAAGTTGGGTAATAGTGGTTGAAGTAGCTAGTCTTATAGTAATATAGGCATTAGGCAGTGTTAATCTGCAGATTAATTTGTAGAGATATAAAAGGTATCCATATACCAACCGATTTCCGATTAATTTGTAGAGACACTTGGTGTCTGTCTGGATATATAAACATATCAATAAAGATCACACACCTTGCATACGTTCCATTATAAAAAAAAAAAAAACAAAAGTCTTTGTACTGCTGATCATTTCAAATTAACTTGTGCCATACTTCCTAGGTAAACTTTTATTAGTTTGTGCAACTTGAGTATTGATTATAACCTGTTTGATCTATGTTTTGTGTCATTTGTACCAATCTTTTTTTTTCCACACAATGGATCCTAGAAGTGTGGAAAAGAAAACCAATATATGTACTTATTCCATTTAATATTTGTAGAATTAGGGGATATATAATGCTCATGAAATATATTGCTGAGCTAACATTCCAATCTGAACAATTTATTATAACATAGCCAAACTAAAAAAAACTGGAAGTGTTGTCAATAAAAAACAAGATAGTTGCCTTAAAAAAATTTTACTAGAAGTTTCTAAAGTCATTGGACAATACTTATAAAGAGATCCAATCCTGTTGACATGTTTATTAGCTATCAAATTATTAAAAAACAATATTGAGATCTCTCATATGATGACTCAAAGGCATTTAAAGCAGTTGGATTATAAAAAATAGTCTGCCACTTGCAACTCCATTACTTATGGGTATATACAAAGAAAGGCAATTGGAATGGACATGGAATCATCTAAGTGACAATTAGAAAAAAACTTTATTTACTAATGAAATGGCTTTTCAACTGTTCAGGAATACTATATGATATTGATATAAGGGATCCTAATCAGTTCACTATATACTAAAAAATCAAACAAAAGTTTTTGCCTAAGGTGAGTTTTGTTATTATAGTAAAACAAGTCTTTTTTGTTTTCAGGATATTATAAATGATTCCTTTTATATTGATATTCTTAGAAAACACTCTTCAGAGATGTACCAACTGCTCAGCAATAGGTGGTACTTTTAACAGAATAACAATCCTAAGCATACCAACCATATTGCTACGAAATTTATCGAAGAGAACATATTACAGATCATTAATTGGTCATTTAACAGCTCCAATATCAACCTTATAGAAAATTTATGGGGTATAGTAAAAAAAAATATAGAAAAGAGAATGTCAAAAAATCTGACCAAATTGAAGTATTTTATGATAAAGAAGTGGGAAAATATTTCATAAGATGTTATAGTTAGTTTGGTAAATTTGATGAAAGAGTGTTGTCAGCTTATTATTTTAAATAATAGCGAATATATTAATTATTAAATTTTTTACCAATAAAAACTTGTGCTTTTAAGCTTTTAAATGATATATTAAATAAGTGATTTCATGCAACCATTGTGGACTAATGAATATTTAAATTTGTGCAAAGACTTTTGTTATATACTGTATATAAAATTGTATTGTCAATAATAATGCATATGCTATATGTACATTTTATCTGAAAGAAAAAAATACTATTATAAAGTAATTATTATAAAAAATTTATAAGTATATATTGTAAATATAATTTAAAATATTATATTAACAATTATTTAAAAAAATCAAAATCAAGTTTAGTTATAAGTATTTTATAAAGTATTTTAAAGTACATGTATATATTTTATAATAAATTTTTTGAAATTAATTATAAAAAATATTAGTTCTTAAAATAAATAAATATAAATAATTTATTAAAACTAAAAAAGAATTTTTTATTTTATTTTATTTTTCTTTTTTATTAAAAATAAAAAAGAATTAGAATAAAAATAAGTTTAAATAGTTAATATCTATAAAGCTTTTTAACTGCTTATAGTTATTACATTTGAAAAAAATACTCTTGCTTAAAAAAACAAGCTAATAAAGACTTATGATCTAAGTGTTTTAAAAAAACAGATCGGATGTTCTAAAGAGACATAATTTAAATATTGTCTTTCAATTATTTTTTTAATAAACTTATTCATGTTATCCATATTATTTATCTGTGCCACTCAACCATATGTAAAATCTTCTTTTAGTTAATATATTGTTCAATTCCTTGCATTTAATGCTTGTCAAAAAATATTTTTTCTTTCGTAAAACTAAAAATTATTTAAAGCTAATCAAAATTGCTTAAAACCAATAAAAATTAATTAAGCCAAAAAAATTTGCTTAGTCTAAAATTATTTATATTCAGATCTCATATATAAAAGTATATACAGTAGATATTGACTCTTTAAAAGAAGTTTCTCTATACTTATGAAATTTTGGTGATGTAATTGAGAAATGTAAAACCTCGATGTTAAAAATCTAAAGGACAGTCACGATATATAGTGTAACGAGTTTTTTATTTGGACAATAAATGATGGGCGAATGTAGATTAAATTAATAAATATCATTTTTTTTTTTTGTATAACCCAAATTTACAAGTGTAGCGTCGCTTAGAAGCGGCTCATTAATTAAATTTACAGTTTTTATTTACTATGTACAAAAGCTCCTGAACTTTCGTAGAAACGTAAGGAAAATTTAGCGATTACTATATAAAAATCCTATTAGCTTCTAATGTGAACAAATAAGAAAAAAAAGAAATTGTTTTTTTTTTTAAAAATTCAAAGCGAATGCTAAAAAACCAAACGATTTTAAGCGTCGCCGATCAGCTGGCTTGTCAATGACTAATACAGTCGGGGAAACTAATGAAGCATTAAAATTATCATACTTTTTTAAAAAAGGGAAAAATTGTGAAATATGGTTGTGTAATCTATAAAAAAAGAAAGAGAAGAAAGGAAGATTCACCTCAAAACCAAATCCTACCCTTGAACCATGAAAAATTTTTAAAATGTTCTTAGATGCCATTTGTTCTTGAATCCACATCCATTGAAGAGACGGATGATCGATTCGCTTGCGCAGATGTCAAAGTGGGTTGAACCGTCAGATTGGATTGCGGGTAGTTTGCAATGGTTGCATTGTTCGGTAATTGACTGGCGTTGGTTGGAAATGCGATAGAATGCGTTTGTCTTATAGCATTGAAATTCTGAACTCCGTTTGCCTGTATATTGCTTCCGACCAGGGATGGAGTCGTGGAACGTTGACTACTGGCCGGTAAGATAATTTGACGACCCGCGGCACCGTGTGGAAGGATATAATTATTACCAAGGCGAATATTTGATTGAATAGTGGGTTGGACGTTGGCCTGCCGTGTCGCGGAGTTCGGTCGGCTGACCTGCCGTAAACGTTTAACAAAGATGCTTGATAAGATAATTATTTTGGTGAATCAATGAAATCCGGGATAAATCACAATGAGATCCTTGCTGTTACCTACCATATTGCTAATCACCACACCCGGCTGATGAACCGACTGTGCCGTCAACGTCGGGTTAGTGGCATGCCTTATGACCGGCGTCGAACCACCACTCTGTTGCTGCAAGCGTCAATGAGGGTAGAAAATCTTCATGAATTTGGAATACGCCTTTTAAACACTTTTCTGAATGACGGAACAGCATTAATGACTTACCATATTTGTCGATGGCACACTAGCGTTGGAATTCACGCTCATTGATTGGTGTCTGATTATGGGTGTTACACCACCATTTACCTGCTGTATGTAATCCATGTGAGACATAAAACCATGCCTGGAAAAAAGGTTTAGTGATCCAAATGAACGTACCATATTGTTAACATTGCTGGCAACAGGTAAAAATGATGGTTGCGAGACGTTCGAAACAATCGTGGCATTTTGACCAACGGCCATATTCACTTGCCTAACAACCGAGTTAGGAACGTTTCCCGAAGCAACATTTTTTTGCCTGAGGTTGACCGAACCACCGGTCGGGACGATGTTGTGGGTCTGCTGTGAGGCGTTTGAAACGAGCATCGTCTGCATTTGCAACCGATCGGCGCGACCCTGAACAGGTATGTTTTGCCTGATAACAACGCTAGCGGAACCATTCGTCTGAGACAGATTACCCGTCGAATTAGCAACCATATTTTGTAGGGAACTTTGACTTGAATTTTGAGTTTGCCTCTGATTTGGACTTCGGGGCTGATTGCTGTTCGGACTGCAGGTCGGAGCCTGGTTTTGGTTTGAGTTCATTTCCGATGGCCTTTCTTGTCGCATCATGAGGAGTTGCCGTTGAAGATGAGCTAAACTTGTGTTGGAATCTTGCGTTGATTGCGTGAATTGATCGTTCTGGACTCCCAGCACGTTGCCGGTTCCCAGATTTTGACGTGATGTTTGTAGGTTCAGTGAGGAAGATTGCAGCTGTCCGTTATTCACAAAAGATGGTGATGTCGATGATTGAAATGCTCCGTTCACAAAAGTTGCAGTGTTATTCAGCATCACCATTCGACTTATATTCGAATTGCTGATCTTGGAAGGATCGATTAATTGATTGCCGCTATTTAGCATCATCGTCGGAGACGATTGCGCATGTTGCACAACCGCGGGATCAACCATTGTGACTCCAGTATTTGAAGGGGTCCGCGATGCATTGCTGGTAGATGAGATCATTAAATTAGGATTGTTTATGAGTATCTGCGGGTTTGAATGATTACGTTGGAGCCTTCGGGGGTCTATGCCCGGGGCAGTATTCATGACGACCCCTGGATTTGAACCCGAACGTGAGAGGGTAGCACCGGTTATCGGCGAGACGACCTGTAAAGTACTACCCATGACAACCCCTGGGTTGGAGCCAGAACGTGTAAGGGAGGTGCCGTTTATCGGAGAAACCACTTGTGCAACGTTGTTTATGACCATCCCGGCACCCGGATTCGAACCCGTGCGCGAGAGTCTGGAACCATTTATCGGCGTAACCGCCTGACTGGTGGCATTGAAAATCAAATTTTGATTAGCGACAGTCTGTGAGAGACTAGACCCGTTTATTTGAGCGTTCGAAGGGACTGATCTCTGCATTGATGTGACTTGTGTGGGAATTTGAACTACTGAAACTGGGACAACAGACCCTTGACTTGTCATGTGCATATTCGATGAAACCAAATTAGTCGAGTTGCCGGACAGCACCGAGCCACTTCTTACGTTCGAGACTTGACCAATGTGGTTAGCTAAAGAAGCTATTGAGGGATCCTTGGACACACGACCGTTTCTCAAGGCATTATGCCGATAGGGTAATGTATTGTCACGATGATTTGTCGAGATCGAAGCTCTAACAGTATGGCCGTTGTGAGCGAGATTTGCACGTGGATCTATACCAGATCTCGGTGATTCGGAGTTTAACCTTTGATCGCCATTCTGATTCTGATCGGCGGACGTACGCTGATCCCGACCATTAAAAGATACACTATTCGCCAGCGTATCCCTGACACTACTTGAATCTGAAGTTAGGTTTTGACCACGAGCCGCAATTTGAGCACTGATATTCAGTCGTTGATCTCGAATGGTGGTCTGACTACCGTTTATTTGTTGTTGATCCCTCGGAATATTGGCGCCGTTGAATGTGCGAGGATCAACGAATGCACGTTGGCTGTTCACGGATTGCGTATCAATGCTCGAAGTGTTCACACGGCCATTGGCATCACGTTGGATATTGTTTATTCGCAGATTCATAGTGTTTGGATCAAAATTTGAACGAGACGATCTTTGCTCGACATTCCTCAAGTCAATGTTGGTTCTTGGTAAAATGTTCGTTGAGCATTGGTCGATCTCCATAGCAGTGCGCGAGTCACGGGAAGCTTGGTTTTCCACTCGTAGCTCACCATCAGGATTTAGTCGAGGCTGCGAAGATTGGATGGGTGTCCGGTTTTCGGCATTCAGACGACTTTCCGCGCTTGTTTGAGTCAGAAGATTGCCAGCAACATTTCCACTGGGATGACCTTCATCCCTATGCAACTGCTTGGGCGAACTTTGCTTGTCCTTTGGAGACTTAAGAATGGAACTAAGATTTTGGAAATCCTCCTCCGTTAGCAGATGCCATATGATGGAACTACACATAAGATAAAAGTGGAAAGTTCCATTATATTTAGTGATTTCCTTAGTTAAACCAATGAAAGATTAGTAGACAAATTATGAAAGAATTTACTTTTCATTTATGTCCGCCTTATCTCCGTATATTTCATCGTCATCACATTCCATAAACGATGTGTCATCATCGCTGAAGGCATCATCTTCATCAGAATCATATTTGAATTTCCAATGAGCCTCCTCTTTTATACAACGGAATCTAAAAACCTCAAGTCGATCAAGAAAGCATCGCCTACGACCACCACGACCACAGCGACTTCTGAACGCATTCTCTGAAGACGGTAATTTTCTGTAGTAGGTGGTCGCCGTGCTTTTGCAAGCAGAAAGATATGGAAACTTTTTGTTGAAAAACATAAACGTTAATTACACGTTGAGACCTTGAAAAGGGATTTTTCATTAGTTGTACGATGCTCACATCCGTAACATCAGTCATTTGGATATCACCATCCTTTTTCGTGGTCTTGATAGAATTTTTCCGTGGTTGTCTAAGGTCAATGACAATAAGTAAAATGGTGATTGGAAAAAAAAAATGCAGATCCTGAAACTCACCCAAAAATTTCGGCTTGTGATGTTGAGGACTTTCGATTCTTGCTCTGTTGGAGAAAAAACAATGTGGTTAAAGGAAAACAAGTGAGTAGGTTCAACATTATTCGAAATAAGTCAGGTACCAACCTTCTGAGAATGTTTCTTGATTCCCAACTCCCTTTGCATATCTTTGATCTTGCACTCCATGACAAACACCTTTCGGTTTATCTCAATCTTTTGCTTCTTAACTTTCTCACGTGTTTGAACTTGAACCACGATCTCTCTTCCAGACTGAAGGTCAATTCGTATGTTCTTCAATTTATCAAAAGATTGAGCCTCGGTTCGACGAGTCCTTCTGACCGGCCTCAGTTCACGACGGCGGAAACATATATATGCGTCTTCCTCATCTTCTTTCTTCGTCTCCACCGTCTATGATGAAATAACAACAATGATTACAAGGGCAGAGGTTAATATGGATTTTCAATGCATTAGGCCCGGAAAACAAAATCAATCAGTTCTCACATCCCAAGGCAGAAGCAAAGAAATCAAATCATCGATTAGATTTCTCAGTTATGAGAACCAATCAATTCAGTTTACGTGGCCTTACCTTTCGTCGATCACATTTGTTCGAATTTGTTGATATCACATCACCAACCTTTATCTCGTGCATCAAGGGACCAGCTTTTTTATAACGGGTCATGTACGCATTCCTCTTCGCCTTCCAATAAGTATATACAACTTCAGCATCCTTTGCATATGGCACTAACTTGTCAGGAAGTTTTGAATAATCCTCCCACGTTGGTAGTCGCTTCTCAAGCTACACACGTGAAGAAACCACGGGATCAACAAAAAAAGAAAGACACACACATGTCACTAGTTCAAGTGCAAGAAGCAACTTACCAATAAGTGTGATTTTTTCTTTGCCATCCTCTCAAAGAAATCCATGATTTCTTCGAAATTATCTTCGCTGAGATCATTTCCTTCTTTTGAATTATATTCCTCTAACCACTTCTCATCGGCATCGTCCATGTTATATTCACATCCGATGCATTCTTCGATGGGCGTAGAGAACTTTCTGTACGTTTTTGATTGTTTGAAGTTTGGCTCAAAGTAGGGTTTCCTCGTCTGATCACCGTTACCAGTTTCCGGACAAGGAATTCCCGGTTTTGTGTCATCCTGTTCTGTACGTTCTTCTTTGGGCACCTCATTTTTCTCAATCATTTTGTTCTTCTTTTCCACCAAGGTCTTAAAGTGAAGTTCCTGGTCATGTGATGAAAAAGGAATTTCTTTGTTCAGTTTCATTCATCGAGAAGGCATGTGACTAGTGATGACATAATCATCACAATACGCCGCAGCAGCGCTATGCGCCAGATGGGAAATTGCAAGAAACAGAAAGACAAGCAAAAACGCAAAATTTTTTTTAAGAGGAGAGGAGCGCTTTATTCACTAGTGGGGAGTACACTTTGAAATTTAAAAAGTTCACAAGGTAGATTAATTTTTAATAAGAACTTACTTCATCCTCCCCCTTTTCAATTCCGGTGACCACCTCAGGGTTATCTCTGTTAACTGTCGGAAAAGCTTCTTCGTCAACTTCGTACCATAAAAAAGTAACCATACCCTTCTTGTTATCTATTTTCCTTGGACGAAATTGCATACGGCTGAAATTGCCGCCTGCGTTCGCTTTTATGAGTGACATCATGACATGTGTATTTGTAAAATAAAATTATATTTTTAGTTTGTTTTTTTGTTTCAGTAACCGTCGTTTCGCAAGAGTTAAGGTTTGGGTTGAACGAAAAACGACTAGTGAATTGGTAGGATGTTTATTGACGATTACTAGTTGTCTTTAAAATACTATATTTTTCGCCTTTAAACTTCGGCTTGAATTTATTTTAATATATCTTTTTTTCTTTTGTCATAAGACTTGCGTTGGGACACAGGGACAGGTTCTGCAAAAAAAAAAAACGGTGTAACCAAAATGTACCCCGTTCCTGTGTAGTTCAATAAGTCATTGGCTGCAATGGTATGGCAATGTGACACAGTGCTATGGTGCTAATATGAATGAACCCTTATCAATGTATATCGATCGCATACCGATTAATCATCACCCGTTCCAGCAAAAACGATCAAATACCGTGATAACAACGATCAAACGAAACAACATGCAACAGTTTTTGACGACAAGTACAACCAACACAACCAAGAGGAATCAAATGAACGATTCTTCCTTCTGATGTTGAGATCATGTGACCGAACTTGGTAATAGAAGTTTTGTTCAATTTATGTGATTGTCACGCGAATGGTGAACGAGAAGCACCAAGACACAATACATACCACGAAGAGTTAGCGGTTCAATTTTGAAATTTCCTTTTCATTATCCAGATCTTTTGTTCGGTAAGGATTTTCACCGGCAACAGAGAATCCAACGTTCTGTTTGTGCGACCAAAATCGAAATTGAGCCAATTGCGCACGAGATGATTTGGATTCACCACCTGAACTCGGGCATAACCATCCACGATATCGATGATTCTGAAGTTTCCCTCATGCATCTCGGGATCCGACGTTAAAAGATGCGTGTAATGCAGGTAGTCGGCGGGTGAGGAATGTGTCTCGTTCTTATAATACTCCCAGTCATTACGTAGTTGGCCAAATCGAGAAGCACCGGTCATCGCCGTATATACGTCGAGATGTATACGAGCTATAACATCGGATTGCGATATAAAACAATAAGTCATAACAGAAATTTTATGGAGTAAGCACGTGGTTGGTTGCTTACCCGATGAATATTCCTTTTGTATCAGATGTATCCTTTGTAAAGCCACACCACCGGGATAATTGATGCTCGATATGAACATAATAGCTATACTTGCGAGAAAACTTAACAGGAGAAGAACAATGATGAAACGATTTATAAATTTAAACCCTTTCCTTCGCCTATCACATTGAAAAAGATATATAGGAATTAGCACGATCACATGGGACTTTCCATCAAAAGAAATTTAGCGTTGGGAAGGATAAATGATAATTTACATGGATACCCATCCCATAGCTGCGCACATATTAAAAATGGGAACCACGTAAACGATGAAACGCCATTCTTTGTGCTCAAGACGGGAAAATCCGACCAGGTAGATTAGCATGGGTAACAAGAATCTCCGTGTGCGTGCATCGGTGAAGACAGAAAGTACGCTCAACGGTCCGGACGTTAGAAGAAGACGCGGAAGAAAAGAAGTGAAATAAGCATGAAAGGGAAGAACCTGTGTGCGAATTAAAAAAAGTCACGTTGACGTAAAGAAAAGAGTAATAAAAAGTCACAATCGACATATTGGACCATACGTACACCCCATTCGACACTCTTTCCAAGAACGATATTAAAATAAAAGACGGATCCTTCCGGCCACGTTAACTCTTGCCAAAAGTAAGAGTCGATTATCGTAGACAATCCTATGGAAAATTTGATCGATTAAAACGATTCATTAGTTCCTTACCGTTGTTATTTCCGACATCCATGATTGATTATTATTATTTTAATTTATTTTAATTTATTTTTTATTTTTACCGAATAACACCTACCCAAACTTACCAACGCCGTAGACGAGAAAACTCTCAAGGCATCAAAAAACTTTAAATTCCCCAACCATAATTCCAAAAGCACAATTGAGGCCAACAGTAGAATTAGCTCGAATCTAAATATCACCATTGCAAAAGTGATATATCGGATCGACGAGAGCAGATGTTCGTTGGAATCATCGGAAGGAGAAGCGGCCGAGACCCAATGAGAAAAGGCAAGAATCACTGTTGGAGAGCACTATTAATCGTCAGATAGATAATAGAATTACGATGTTGACGATTGGGTAATTAATTACCTAATGGAAACGCAAAAATGTTTGGCAATGGTCTGCTGGCCCAGAATATGGTGTGAAATTGGCACGCGCTTAATATACCAAAGGCGACAGAGACTTGTCGCCCAAATGATGTTGATATCGATAAACGAAGTTTAGAAAGAGCAAAAATCCCAGATAGACCAAGATAAAAGCGTACTATAATTCGGTGCGTGCAAATGATATTGAGTATTCTGTCTTCAAGAAAGTGACCCTCTCCGCCCAATCAAAACCTACCCACATATTGACGAAAGAATTTGTCAAAGTCAGGGAAAAATATCTCCAGTGTTTTGACAGTAGGCCAGCTGGCTCCACTCAAGAGCAAGGGTCCAACAAAGGTGCGGTGGACAACACCCGGAAACTCAAAATGGTCGAACTGTTCGAACAGACGGTGAGCTAATTTTTCCAACTGAAGTTTGCTTTTTCAGTGGCAAATAGAAAAATGTCGAAATACTTTTTTCAAGGACTCTGGACCCATTCCATATTCCATAATGTCATGAGTTGCCTGAAGATTGAAGCTCTCTTCAACCTTGGTAAAAGGACACAGCATAATATGCACGGTCACTAGGAAGCATAGAAAGAGGTCATACTTGTCCATATTTTGCTGCTTTTCATGTGTAGTCGGAATTCTCAAATTCGCAAGGATACACTCTTTGATTAAAAAAAAGAATTGAAAAATTTAACACAAGATTTTCCTTCTTAGTTCATTCTCAAATCGGATAGCTTTATATACATGTGGCTTAGGTCGCGTGGAGGTTATCCAATAAATTTGGTAGACGCTATATTACCATTGAATCGGGATTTCTAAATCAAAATCAAATGTATTGATGGGACGAGTATGAAGAAAGTATATCTTATGGGATGGCAATGAATACTACACTTCTAACCAATGATAATAAGGCTATTATCGTGCTCATTGTAAATATTGTTTGTTTTTTCGTCAAATAAAACATCGTGATCCGAACTTGACCTTGGGCAGGCGTCCAAATATCGTAAAAGTTTTCCTGTAGGAACATGTCATGAACAATGGATAATCGTCTACTTGTGCTTGCAGGTTGATATAGCACTATTTTAACCATCAATATTAAGTTGATATGTAATTATATACTAAAAAAAAACAAGGGTACAGTAGATCAGAGATCACAGTTATGTAGTAAAGGGTGGGACAGACACACAAAAGGTGTTATTTATATACAACCCGAAAAAGCGATTAAAAACCGTTTACTCGTAGTGCACGTCGAATCGCTCGTCGAGAACCCTTCTCTGCGAATTCAATCTGATTTCACACACAGTAAAAGTTTATCCTTTTTAATTTTTTTTTTTAAGCCATAAACAATTTTTTCGTTTTCCGCTTCCATTTTAATTATCAAACCCGTTGAGCACAATGCTTGTTCATTGGCTTTAACCTGACTCGGCTGTGTACTCGGACGATCTTTTTACCATTGGATAGGATCTATTCGGAAAATTTCAGAAAATTAACAGCCAAATTATGTCAAGCTATTATTTCTAGTTGCGTTTTAAGAAACTACGAAAAATTCCCATATTAAAACAAATTAATTTTAATTTAAATGAGCGCCAACTGTCGACGTAATGCTTTGCGATTTTCGAGATAACGAAATTGTCAAAATTCCGAAAAAATATTTATCACGGCGTTTGAAAATGAAGTCAGGTATTAAAATATATATATATATACTGTATATAAATTATGGTCAAAAACTCAATTCATTATTTGATTTGTTTTTGATACTATCAAACTTCATCAAAAATTGATTTAATAAAATATCGAATTACGCCTGTTGAAAAATTCTCTATTTGATAATTTGATATAAAGAATGTATAACAAAAAAAAAAATAATTCGATGTGTAGTAAATTCATTTAGTAAAAATAATATAAAAAGAAATAATCTTCATTTCATAGGTCTAATATGTTTGTTCCTAACTTTAATAATTTTACAAATATTTAATTAAATTTTAAATTAGAATTTTATAAACTTAATTCATAATTTAAACAAATATACTGTACAGTATATACTGTATAATATTTTTTAAAAATATTTTTTTATTGATTTTTTACTTTTACAAATTATAATAATCAATTTATTTTCAATTTTTTATATACTTGTAAATAAAACTCTAAAAAAAGTATTAAACTGATATTGAAATAATATCAAATAGTACTGATATATAGTAAATTTAATATATGGATTATGATTTATTCATATGAATTTATAGTAAATCAATATAATTAATTTATAACAAATCAAACCAATTTTCAAATTAAACTTTTTATTTTTTTTTATATAACTATTTATACAAAAATAATCAAATTAATATAATTTTTATTTAAAAAATTTTTTTAATATTTATTAACAAAAATATATTTTTATATTATATATTATATACAGTATAATAAATTGAATTTATATATTTTTTAAAAAAAAATCATATTATAATAAAATTACTAAATAATATATAATAAATAATTCAAAATTATATTTAATTAAATTTATATTATTAATTAAAATTTTTTTTATAACAATAAGAAAACATATAACATAATATAAAAATTTTCAAAAAATTATTTATATAATATAAATATATATAACTTTTTTAAAACAAAACAATTTATAAGAAATTTTAAATATGTAAACAATATATATAGGTATTTAAAGTTATTTAATTATTTTATTTTTGTTATAATCTTATTCTTATAATATTATCTTTTAAAAAAAACACTTAACAACAAATTGTATTATATTTATGAAATAATAAAATTACTTTTATATATAAAATATTTTTTAAAACTGATATAAATATATTAATTATCCAAGTACTCTCTGTCCACGATGTGAACTTCGTACGGAAGATATTCAACATGTCTTCAAATGTGCAGAAGCATTACAAGCAGCTGAGCAAATT